CTCATGTTAAAGGTCATGAGAACTTGTTATGTTTGGTTTATCAATGATAACCAAAACTAATAATTATTTGCGTGCAATATATATTATAGAGAGATAATTTAGAGGTAAAATTCGCGCATGGGTGGAAATCATTATTTTCGATCAAAAAACAAAATAGCAACTTCGCTTTAGTTGGTTGTACACACCACTACGCGTTTTTACTAGTTTTGTGTTTTACTTTGATTATAAATAAGATACTTACCGATGGAGAGCAAGGATCAGTTTCAATTAAGAATACAAAAACAATTGCTTAAAATTTCTTTTGTCTTTAATTTCCCAAAAAAAAAAAAACATGTCGCTCATACGTCTCCTCCAAGCCCTGAACAGTATCCGGTTTCTTCGCCGTGAACTCATCTTTGGGTACATTGGAATGATAGCCGCCATCGCCTTTTGTGATGAACTGTCTTTTTAAGATTTTTCTACTTAAATTTTATTTATTTTTAATTAATGACATTAGAATGTTTTTGAAAAATAGGAAACGTCAATTTAGATGTTAATGTTACAAAAAAAAAACCCTTCTATCGAAACGTTACAAAACGTCAATTAAAGAAAGCTTTGGATCATGGCAAAGTATTTAAATGAGCATCATGCTTTTTATTATTAAACTTGATTGGTAGACAAAGCATTAAGCAGAGCTTTTAGTAAATGTTAATGCTCTCTAAATGCTTATACCCTCAATGCTCCTAAATAAAATTTTTCCTGAGTTTTGACATATGTTATTATTAAAAAATATTAAATAACTAATCTTTTATATATAGAAAATTTTCAAAAAATGTCACTTTTCAAATGCCACTTTACAAAAATGCCACACTTTTGAAATCTTTACAAAAATATCACTTTTTCAAAATTATTTTTTCTTTATATCATTTATGTTTGGATTAATTATGTTCTATTAGGGTTTAGTTATGAGGGTTTAGGGGGTTTTAGGGGTCAAAACATTTTTTAGGATTTAGAATTTTAAGATATAGGCTTTATAAATCTATAATTAGTGGCATTTTTGCAAATAGACACCCCTAAGTGGCATTCTTGCAAATGTGCACATAAAAAGTAGCATTTTTGTAATTGCTCCTTATATATATAAGATCAAAAATAAATTATATTAACTTTATTTATTTTATTTAATATGTATTATTATTTTATTAGTTTTATTATTTTAAAATAATATCAAAATAAAACAATAAAATTTAGTTAAATATAATTTAAATTTGAAAATATTATTAAAAAAAATTATGTTATAATTTTATAAATATATTTATATTAAAACTAAAACCTAATATTTAACATTAGTTTATTTTTCTATTTGTTAAATAGTATTATAATAAAATAATAATTTAATAAAAATAATTGAATAAAAATGTCGTTATAACTTATGACTAGTATATATATAATGTATTAGAATACATATAAATAAATATTGTGAAATC